ACTGGCAGATCTAAATTCAAGGACAGCCTGATCTACAGGGTGAGTTCCAGGATAGCCAAGCTTAAGCAGTGAAGGAGACCATCAAAAACAAAACAAACAAACAAAAGAAACAGAGGGTGGGTAGAGAGCTTGTGAGCATGAGGACCTGAGTCTCATTCTAGAACCTATATAAAATAAAACCTGGGCATGGGAGTGGATCCCACTAACTTTAGTACAGGGGAGGCAGAGTCAGGCAGATCCCTGGGGCCTGTTAGCCAGCCTAGAAGAATCAGCAAGCCCCAGACCAATAAAAGACCAGGTCTTAAATGCTCCAATATTGCCTCAAACATATCATAAGCATTATAGGACATAGCACTAGGGCTGGTTTCAACTCACATTTGTTGTAATTATGGGGTGCAGGATGATATTTTATTACATGGGTATGCAACATGGAAACATGAATATGAGCTATAAACATTCCTACCACATCGGACACTCACTGTCCCTTCCCATCGTGGGTGTTGACAAGCTCTTGTGCCTGTACCTGGTGACAGGCACTGCCTCTAGAAACATGTCTGCAGAAGGATTCTGGGGAGCGCTTAGTAAAGGACTTGCTTTGATGTATTCATACTGAGCGGGGTGTGTGTGTGTGTGTGTGTGTGTGTGTGTGTGTGTGTGATGGGAATAGTAAATGGTGACATCAGAGCTGGTTGACTAAGCTCAGCACCCTGTCTGGCACGTGGAAGCTTCTTAGTTAAACATCACCCAGTTCCTTCACTTTCTTCATTAAAGGTTGAGGGCTGGCATTGTTCTGATGGCTCCTAGCTTCACCTGAGCTCACTGTTGAGACTAGGTTGATTCACTGGCCCTAGTATTCACTTGGCCTCTTGGGGAAGAACAAAACACTAGACCCCAAGAGCATCACACATGCACAAATGAAATGCAGATTGAGGGGGAAAGAACTGCCTTAACTCTTAACCACCAGAAAGCAGCAGCCGAGGAGATCACTCCTGAGACTCCTGGGAGAATGACTGACCAGGCAGAGCTGAGTTCATGAACTGCTGGGCCCAACGGAGACTCTCTGTTGCTGTCTTCTTTGATTTTAAGAATTGATATCTGCTACCAAAGGATGTCATTTTTCTCAATGGAGTCTCCTGGTGCATTATCTACCTCAGGCCTGTGCTCAGGAGCAGTAGACCAACATAGAGTGAACTCAGTGGTATTTTCAGACTCTAAATTTGGTTCGGCCGTGTGTGTGTGTGTGTGTGTGTGTGTGTGTGTGTGTTAGTCTTTTGCTTATTTGATTTTCATTTTTTGTGGGGGTTTGTTTTTGTTTTACAGAGTGAAAGAACATAAAGCCAGGTAGGTAGTGAGGTAGGATCTGGGAGGAATCGAGGGAAGGGGAAAACATGATCAAACATATTATATGAAAAACACTGTTTTTAATGAAAAGTTAAAAAATAAATAAGAGGCTGTGGTGGAGGAAATAATGGTAGCCTGGAGGGTCAAAGGTTTATCTTAGAAAATGAGCTCGAAGTTGGACCTGATGGATGAACGAATGAGGCATAGAAAGAAGATGGAGCAGCACATGCAAAGGGCCTGGGAACCAGACTGGGAAGCTGTGGGCAAAGGGAGTAAGGGGAGAAAGGCAGAAGGGGAGTTGGAGAAGCAGGCTCAGGCCAACGTCCGAGACAGAACTGAAGGGATCAGTAGAGCCAGGAAGGGCCACACAGCTCCTCACAGCACCTGGTGCACGTCCCCACTGACATCTCAAGGCCCACGAATCTGTTGTGTGGAAGACTTATGTGCCTGTTCCCCTCACCCCAGCTTCTCAACATGGCCCCAATCCAGGAGGGTGGGTCTGGAAGGCCTGGTCTAGACTTCAGGAGCAGCTGCTCTACCAGGGGTACTGGGACTGGTTGAAACAAGCCTTCTAGAGGTGGTGATGCTATTTAGGACCTTGTTGGTTCCAGAGTGGATCTTCCAATGTGGCTGTGCTGATGACAGCATCCTAAGCAGGCCTCTGACTGAGTGGACAGACTTACTGTACACATAGTAGCCTAAATTCAGCATTGGGAGTTGCCTAGGGCAGGCTTCTGTTTTTCAGGACCTTGCTAATTTATCTCCAAAGGTCAAATACCTTAGGCAGGAGCATCTAGTCAGTCTCAACAAAGGCCTCAGACCTGCTATTATAGAAAATCCACTTGATTTGTCCACCATTTTGTTGCTCCCCTGCACCACCACCCCCCACACACTGAGAGATAGCCTTGTCATTTTGATCCCCAACAGCCCTTTCTACCCACCAAGTGATTCGGTGCAGCGGTTCTACTATGCCCTCATCTGCAGGACTCACTGAAGACCAGGAATTGGGAACTGAAGCCCATAGGCTGCGAGCACAGAGACCATCAAGGCTAGACCAGAAGCCACCATCATCAGACTTCCTCCAAGGTGGCTCCTGGATATCAGCCTCTGGTGCTTTTTAGCAATGGTGGTAAGGGTGGTGTGAGTTTCCCCAGGCCAAAGGCAGACCAGCTAGAGAAGGATGTGTGTTTGTCTAGCTGATCTCCCAGATGTCCCTGGCCGCTCCTGGGTTGACAAATTCAAATGTCTATGTAAGCAGGACTTCCCTTGCTGCCTGCTGTTAGCTCCCTTCGCTGACGTCCTGATGCCATGAGAAGCGGTAAGTACAGCCGTGCAGGAAACACAGGACTCAGAGGGAGCTCACATCTCTTCCTTACTTAACTGTGTCTGGACTGTGTGGAAAGGAACCTGACATGAGGATGGGATGAATTTTTTTTCTGTGTAAGATTATTATTCTATATTCTACTTTACCAAGATCAGTTGAATACTACAAGAGATTCCCAATGTTTCATTCACACAAAGCTGTGTTAGCTGAACCACGTCCTGATGTGGGAGTGTTGCCTCAAGTGATAGGTGAACCTTCTAGACTTTAGAGGCTTTCTTGTGATGTGTATATAGATCACTGAGATCCCAGCTGTCAGTAAAGAATGTAGACAAAGGAACCACAGAGAAGAGCGTCTAATGTAGAAAATGCCATTTTAATCCCTCACTGAAAAGGCTGCTCACAACCAGATTGTAACAAAATCCACAGCTTATTCCAAAAGAAAAATTTAATACAAGAGATTTTAGAAAATTAAGCATATTTGTTTAAAAATTCTATTGTGTAAACCTTAACATAAGAGGGGAGTTGGGATAGCACGTGCTCAGATCTCTGGGGTGTCTGTACCCGCAGGCTCCAGACATAGGGCTGTAGCAGCCACAGAGACCTTTCCAGGGTGGATGGAGATAACCGATCAGGGCTTCACTCCTCTGGGGGTCCCAGCACTCAGGTCCTCTTCCCATGTGCTCAGCAACCCTACAGCTCCTGTGAAAACCATTGTCATGTGCCCCAAGTCCCAATTCTTGTTGGGGCTTCCCAATATGTCCTACTGGTAAAAAAGAAAAACAAAAACAAGAAACAAACCTCCCTGTGGTCAAGTGGTTGCCTCTTGGTAGGGCAGAGCTGAGCAGCTGCAGGTGGTGCTGGATCAGGTGGTGGGCAGATGTCTTCAGGGCGGGAGAACATGGCCCAGTGAGAAGTGAACCTAAGCCTCCACACAGCAGCCTCTCCAGCCCTGCCGCCATGCTCTCTGCCCTCCCCATGCACTGCCTCGAGTTTACTTCAGATACATAATGGAGACCACGCATCACAGCAACAGGGCCTGAGCTTTTTGGCACAGAAATATTAGACAAAATATACAGTGCTACAGTTGTGCAAAGTTAGCAAAACCAACCTAAACAGCAAACACTTAACTCTCTCTTTAGTGAAATAATGCACAATCGTTTGAAGAATGTTTGTTACAATAGACCTTGTTCATAAGGAGGCACCTGCCTTCTGTCCCAGCTCCAGGCTAGGACATGGCTCTGGGGTGGGTAGCAATGTCTCTGGTGGGAATGTTGAGGAGTCGGGACTGTTATTGCCATGGGCATGAGGCCATTCCTTCTTGCATGCTTCCCAGACAATAGAGCAGGCAGGGCCAGGGCACCATGGTGAGACTGCCAGCTCCTGAGTCGTCCTGCTGGCAGAAGATCTAAGTCTCTCAGGAGTCCCTCTGCTGAGCATGTTGGGCGGGTGGATGCAGGTGTAGGTGCGGGCTGCCAGTGTGAGGGAGTCTGGTGGTGGACCTGGGAGAACAGGGCCCAGCCTCCCCTCAGGGGCCAGTTGTGTCTACAGGTTACACAGACAGATGGAGCTGGTACAAATGACACAGCAACCAAGGCCTAGAACACTGTGACTTGCCCTCAGGACATGGCAACTCACAGGAACAAAGTTTTAGCAGCCACAAGAATGCCAGGGCCACAGTCAGGCTGTGGATTAGGAAGCAGTCTCCTGAAGAGCTGAGGTTGTATCATAGTGAGTGGGCATGGCTCTACATTCCCCTCTGGACTCTGGCTCTCAGATCTGGGGAGCATGGTGGGAACAGCCTTCCATTACCCGACCCCACCCTGCACTGCTCTGCCTGAGTCCCAACATGCTCTTGTGAGGTATAAGATGGGCAACCTGGAACCAAGAGTTTGCTGGGGTTCTGAGGAAGCAGGGTGTCAGCAGGGCTAGAGAGTGGCTCTCACCAGAGGGACAGCTTTTGTCCAGCACTTGCAAGGCCCTAGTCAATCCCCAAGATGGGGAAAAGGACTAGCTAGGAGGCAGATGTCAAGCAATCAAAGGGGCTATGAAGTCCCTGGAACCAAGCCTTCATGTTCACATTATGGCAGAGTTGGGCAAGTTCCCCATAATTAATCCTAGAAATCAAGGCCTCAGGTCTGGGTGCCTGTCTGCCTGCTGCCTGCCTGCTGCCTGCCTGCTGCCTGCCTGCTGCCTGCCTGCTGCCTGCCTGCTGCCTGCCTGCTGCCTGCCTGCCACCTGCCTACCTGCCGCCTGCCTGCCTGCTGCCTGCCTGCCTTCCTTCCTTCCTTCCTTCCTTCCTTCCTTCCTTCCTTCCTTCCT